TTTTTAATTTGATCATCATTTTTGGTAGATTCTACAATTGTATGCTTCAACTCCGCTTTTTGGTTTTTTGTTTTGTTTTTGTTTTGTTTTTCAAGACAGGGTTTCTCTGTATTGCTTTGGAGTCTGTCCTGAAACTTGCTCTGTACACTAGGCTGGCCCGAGTGCTGGGATTAAAGGAGTGCGCCACCAACGCCCGGCCAACTCTGCTTTTTAAAAACCTACCATACATTTCAATAAAGGAAGTCCAAATTTGTAAGGATTTCCCATACATTGCCTTGCATTTGGGTTTGGACAAAGCAAGTACTAGAAAGTGTGGCTATGGATTGCATAGACCAGTTTTATGGGTTCAATGGATTTCTTTTAGTTTCTTAGTAATTTACAGGCAACAATTCTATTATAAAGCCAGACTTGCTACATTATTACTCTTGGTGCCTGCCTTAGTCCATTCAGGTTGTCATAACAAAATATTACAAACTGGCAATTTGTGAACACCATGCATTTGGTTTTTTACAGTTCAGGAGTTTAATTCCAATGTCAAGGTCCTAGCAGGTTTGGGTTGGCTGAGGGCCTTCTTTGTGGTTTGATGGCTCCTTCTAATTATTTTTTTGTGTATGAATTTTTTTCCTGTATGTGTGTCTGTGCACCACATTTTTGCAGTGCCCAGAAGCCCGAAGATGCAGGTTCCCATGGAACTGGAGTTAGAAGAGGTTATGAGCCAACATGTGTGTATTGGGAATCCAGTCTAAGTCTCCAGCAAGAGTACCCAGTGCTCTTTTAGTTATTGTGGTTGTTTTGAGACAGGGTCTCTAAACTATGCAATCCTGGCTGTTCTGGGGCACAATATATGGACCAGGCTGACCTGGAACTCATAGAGATCAGCCTGCCTTTGCCCCCACCAAGTGCTGAGATTAAGAGCATGTGCCATCATGCCTAACACAGCCAGTGCTCTTAACCACTGAGCCATCTCTCCAGCCCTATATGTTTTATAGTTTTTAAATCAGAGATCCCAAACAGATTGCCTCCTTTTTTTCTTATCCAATTCACAAGGTTTTATTTAAGGGACGGGGTGAAAAATGGGATACTTTTGGTTGGTTTGTAAAGGTGATGGTAGGGAAAAAAAAGTCCCTTGCTGGTGTTTTCTTCATTCTGATGTTAAAATTGTGACTAATGCATTGATTTCCTTATGATATCCCAACTCTAGAAACGTGCTTACAAGAGCTATGTCCGTGCTCTTCCCCTGCTGAAGAAAATGGGCATCAATTCCATTCTCCTTCGGAAAAGTATTGGCGCTCTTGAAGTGGCCTGTGGCATCGTCATGACCCTGGTACCCGGGCGTCCCAAAGATGTGGCCAACTTCTTCCTGCTCCTGCTGGTGTTGGCTGTGCTTTTCTTCCACCAGCTGGTCGGTGATCCTCTCAAACGCTATGCCCATGCTCTGGTGTTTGGAATCCTGCTCACTTGCCGCCTGTTGATTGCCCGCAAGCCTGAAGAAAGGCCTTCTGAGAAGAAAGCCTTGCCGGAGAGTGGAGAGGAGCAGCCCTCCTTATATGAGAAGGCCCCGCAGGGCAAAGTGAAGGTGTCATAGAAAATTGAAAGTGCAAAAAGTGGACTTTCAAAGCAGTTGCCTCCTTGACCCCCCAAGAAGATATCAGTGTGTGTTTTTCATTTGATTTATTTGTCTTGGGGAAAAGTGCAAAATAAAAACTGCAAGTTAATTGGCTTGTGTTCATCTCTACCCGAAAATGACCTCCCCACATTGCCATTCATGCGCCACCTTTAATCACTCTGGAGCAATGCTCACATCTTGCTGCATGTAACTGTCTATGGCTACTATTGAGGTGTGTTTGTGAGGTGGAGTCCAGCAAGCATGTGACTGTGAGATGATGTGTGGGGGAATGTAGTTAACTGCCATGTGTGTGAGTATACACGAATGTGTTTAGGAGGCTCTGGTCTTGAACTAATCCTGCACAGGTATCCTTCCCTGTAGAAACTGATTCCAGCAAAGGTAGAATAAAGGAACCCTCCTGTTAAGAGATTCCTATTCTGCTAGAAAACAAAGAACCTTTTTCCATGTGGTATGGACCTCCCTTTCTGCATTAAGCTGTAAACTTAAATTCACCATTTTATGAGAAGAGTTTCTTCAATTTAATTAGCCTCTAGTTCAACTTTTATGTTTGAAACACTCATCATCAAGTTTAATTCAAACAAGGGATATATGCAGCCAATAGATAGATAGTCAGGTTCTTCAAGCGACACAGTAGGAGGTTTCTCCTTGCCTTTGTCTCAGCCCCAGCTACTGAGCTCTTTGGCTAGCAGTTTGAAATTTAATTAGCAATCATTTACTAGACATGCTCAAATTTGGTTTTAAGCCCAAAGCTGCCTCACTTTCACTATTCGCAGTAGCCAACCAGGATCAGACAGCTTCCCCACAGTTTCCACTGAGGGACCAGCGATTGATCCTGTTAAAAGTTTGAATCTCCAGCCCTAGCGGTTTTCCGAAACCTGAAATTGGATACAGAAGTTGTAGCCAGTGTTTGTCTGATGAGTGAGTCCTCTACTCCTATTGATTTGCCTCCAAACTTTGCTAATGTTAACAAAGTCCAAAATACCCCCAGAAATGTCTATTTCACACCTCTTCAGCATTCCAGTGGGTGGAGTTTAACTAGGGGAAGGGCATTTGACATGGGTTAGTTGGACTGAGCAGTATGGAAGTTTGCTTTCGTAGTTACAGACTGCTGTTTCTCTTTGTTAACCGTGCTTTGATAGTTTTAATATTGTGCCAGGGACCGGAGAGGGGGCGGGGGGGGGGGGGGGGGGGGGGTTGTGTGGAGTACCCACTGTATTTTCCTCAGTGTCATTGTTCTTGGTAATACTGATAACTGTCTTCTTTCGCTCATTCTTTCAAAATAAAGCTTTTTGCAATTTGGAGGACAAGGTGTAGATATGGATTGAAAATCCGGAAAGAAAAGTTACTATAATCAAGGGACTCAGATTCTTCTGTCTGTGAATTTCTTGAGTTTGTTGGTGGTATTCATTTGTTTTAAGGCAAGGTTTTATTGTGTAGCCTAAATTGGCCTCCAAGTAGAGATTCTCTTTCTTTAGTTCACAAATACTGGGCATCCAGGACTATGTCAATCACTACACCTGCTCTCTCTCTCCCCCTCTCTGAAACAAGGTGTCACTATATAGCTCTGGCTGGCCTAGAACTCAGGGAGATCCATCTGCTTCTGCCTTCTGAGTGCTGAGTTAAAGGTATGTACCACCACACCTAACTCCGGGTTCTTAAACAAACAAAGTCTAGATGAAGAAGAAGAGAAGAAAGGTATAATAATTTCAGTATACAAATGAGACTGCTAACATGTTCATCCTTTTAAGTTCCTTCATCCTTTTTTTGAAGTTACCATGCAAGAGGGAAAGTCTTAGAGTCTCAGGATACAGCCTTAGGATCCCAATGCTATCTCCACGTTCAAGAAAATCTTTATTGAGTGAGTCAAAGGAAAAAAAGAAAAATTATTTCAGGCTGGGTGGTGGTGGCCCATGCCTTTAATCCCAGCAATTGGGAGGCAGAGACAGGCAGATCTCTATGAGTTTGAGACCAGCCTGGTCTACAGAGTGAGTTTCAGGTCAGGCGCCAAAGCTATAGAGAAACCCTGTCTCAAAAAAAAAAAAAAAAAAAAAAAGAAAGAAAGAAAGAAAGAAGAAAAGAAAAATTATTTTAGAAAAAACCAAGGATTCATGAAATAAATATGAAGCAGTATCTTTTACTACACTATGTCCACAAAGTGACAAGTCGTACTGCCACAAATTTGTCATGTTAAGTAAGTTATTTTGTCACTCAGGGTACCATTTCATCTGTGAAAAGGAGGGTGAAGCCTTCAATCCTGTGCAGTTTACACGTCTTTGAGTGTATTAAATCATTAAATGCATGAAAAATGGCTCAATAAAAATTTCAATTTTCCTAAAGAGCAGCTATCAGAAAAAAATGGACAGTCTCAATTTTTATGCATGAGTAAATGAGTTTGTCAAAGTACTCTGAAAACCATGTTAGGTGTGGTAGTCGTTTCTGCTGTTTCTGTCTCAAATACTTCAACTTGATCCTCGATTATTTATGCTTGTCTGAGATGGCAAATTTTTTCCTGTATGATTTTTGCACAGATTTCCTAATAATCTTATGGCCTCCAGTTGCTGAGAAGCATTATATTTATACATTTCTTCTTTTATTGCTAGTTTCTTCCTTTCCTTTTCTTTTTCTAACATAATTTCCCATTGATTCTTTGGGAATTTTACATTATGCACCCCAACCCTGCCCACTTTCCAGTCCTAACATATGTGCCACTCATTCATGTAGTGTACCCCCATCAAAAATTTAAAAATACTAATTAAAAACAAAATAAAACAAGCAAAAATCCACTTTGCTCCTCTTTCCCACCTCTTCATCACCTCTTCATTTCATCTTAGTGGCATTGGGAGTTGCTATGTGTCATACAGTATACTCTTTTGCCCACTCAGGTTTTTTGTTGTTGTTGTTTTTGTCTTTCGAGACAGGGTTTCTCTGTGTAGCTTTGGAGCTTATCCTGGCACTCGCTCTGGAGACCAGGCTGGCCTCGAACTCACAGAGATCCTCTGCCTCTGCCTCCCGAGTGCTGGGATTAAAGGCGTGTGCCACCAACGCCCAGCGTCCACTCAGGTTTACTTGCAAATGTTCATTGCAATGAATTGTTGGTCAGGTACAAGGCCTCTGGCTTTTGGTACCTGATCAATGCAGGACCCTCGCCCAAACTCCTCTTGGATATTCTGCTGATGCCTTGAGTCATGGAGATCCTGCAGATATGGTTCCACAGGACCAGTTCCTTCACACACTCTGGCAGGTCATAAATGGGGTAGATGTCTATCTCAAATACTTGAACTTAATTCATGATTATTTATGCTTGTCTGAGATGGCACATTTTTCCTGTATAATTTTGCATCAAGTTCATAATAATGGCCGCAAGTCGCTGAGAGGCATTGCATTTCTACATGTATACATGTCCTCTTTTATTATTAATTTTTCTTTCTTTCCTTCCTTCCTTCCTTCTCTCTCTCTGGTTTTTTGAGATAGGGTTTTTCTGTGTAGCTTTAGAGCCTGTCCTGGAACTCTCTCTCTGTTTAAGACGAGACCACACTGTATCCCAGAAAGTCCTGGAAACCTTCGGTGGTTTTCCTCCTTCAGTCTCTCCTGTGCTGGGATTAGAGGCTCCAGCCACCACTCTGAGTTTTATTCCTAGTTTAATAGATATTAAATAGGGGTTGAAGTTAGATCTCATACTAAGTTTTTGTTGCTGGTTTTGCTAGTTTAAGGTCAGTTAGTTCTTCAAAATTAGGAATATTTATTTACATGTTGACAGACAGCCACCTTAAAGATTAACATCTTGACCGAGAATACGTTTTTAGGAAATTTGAATTAGTTGTACCCATCGACTGTCGACAGTAGGCAGATCTTGTGGTTTCCTCTTACCGCCCACCTCTCCTGCCCCTCCCCCGTCACCCCAAATTCCACAGGAAAGCATCAGAAGCTTTAAGTCACAGCATGGGAAAAGCCGCCTTTATTGTCAAGTTTTCAGTTTCACATTTTTCTGCAGATTCAATGCCCCGACATTTCGGGATCAATGTGGGCAAAAATGAATACCACACTTGACCACGTTAAATTCAACGCCAATCCACTTAGCACTGTTTCAATCACAATGACTGATGCAAACCTTCTCAGAACACAGAGAAAGCCACGGATCAACTGACTCCAGTAACAACTGCCGGCTGGGGCGTGCCTCAGGCCTCCGTGGGTGGGGCCAGCCGCTGTGCGTCATCTAGCTGCGTCATTTTCCCCTAGCCTGCCCCCCCTCCCGCCTTTGAGCTGCACTCAAACCGATTAGTCTTCGGCCAAACTTGCTCCTCCCCAGCCGCGGTCTCCCCCCGGAGCGCATGCGCGGGGCGGGGCCGGCGCCTTTGAATCTTGGAGGCGGTTTTTTGCATTCTGGAGCCGGAGTGTTCAGACGCAGATGTTGTCAGGCGCGCCGCTGAGGTTGGCTTGGAGGCACAGAGATCTTCTGGAATACCGTGACCAGCGAGGGTGAGACTAACCCTGAAAAGGGTAGCTGGGATCAGATTTCACTCTGTGGTCCCAGGAATCGGCCTAGTCCGGGAGTTGTTTGCCAGTTTTGCTGTTAGGTGGGGAGGGGAGGGCTGTGAATTGAATCACATAGATCCGCTGGAACTGTTCGCCCAATGGGATCGTAATCTGCTCCCTGGCCCGTCTTATGTAAGAAGCTCTTGTCACTGGACCTCCCCTCCCTGTGACTTAGGTGCTCTCTTGCACTGGTCTCATCTGTTCTAGGGGGAAGATATTGGATGTCATTCCGTCTGTTCCCTTAGATTTTCCTGTTTGAATCTAAAACTTAGAAGCCAGTCCTGGTTCCTTATTAGTCATTCTTTGTTTCCCTTATACCTGTGTCTAATACGTTTTTAGGAAATTTGTTGTTGTTTGTTGTTGTTTTTTTTTTCTTTTTAACAAGTATATATGCTGCTGAATAGAGCATCCCGTCTGCCTTTAGGACATACGAGGCTTTTGTACACAACTTAGGCTTACTGCTTTTTTGGCAAAGCCTGGTAAGTGTTTTCTCAACACTTCTGAACTCTAGTCTCTACACCACAGAAAAAAATGGTCTTATGTTTTCTTTCTCTTGTGGTTTCCCTTGAAACTCTGACTGGAAAGTCAGAGCCCTCACTCTCTGCCTACGTGAAGCAGTATGATCTCCCTTATTACTGTTCTGATGTCATCTCTCACTTTGCCTCTTTCACTCCTCACTGTTCACACTGGCGTTGGTGTGTACTCTTTAATACACAAAGTTCTTTCTTACTTGGATGTTTTCCTTTTTTCTTCTCATAAAGTACTCTTTCACCACACCTTCAAATGGTACACTCCTTCTTGGCACTCAGATTTCACCTTAAAGTTCACTTTCGAGGGGTGTTTTAATTACTTTTCTTTCTCAGTGAAGAGACACCATGACCAAGGCAATTTATTTATTTTTTATTTTTTAGAACACAAAATTAATTTTTATTAGACTATAGTAGTTATATAAAGTGATGGGTTTTTTTGAAATTTCTAGACATGAATTTATTGTACTTTGATCATAACAACCGACCAAGGCAATTTATAAAAGAAAGCATTTAATTTGAACCTAACTATTTCAGAGGGTAGTAGATGCTATAACCACCAGGTAGTAGGCAGGAACAGCACTGGAGCAGTAGCTGAGAGCTTATATCTTTTTTATTTTGTTTTTTTCAGACAAGGTTTCTCTGTAGCTTAATAGACCAGACTGGCCTTGAAATTGCAGACATCTGCCTGCCTCTGCCTCCTGAGTGCTGGGACTAAAGGTGTGTGCCACGTGCCACTTCCCCTCACCCCCTCACCTTTTTTTTGGGGGGGGGTTCGAGACAGGGTTTCTCTGTGTAGCTTTGGAGCTTATCCTGGCACTCTCTCTGGAGACCAGGCTGGCCTCGAACTCATAGAGATCAGCCTGCCTCTGCCTCCCGAGTGCTGGGACTAAAGGCGTGCACCACCAACACCCGGCATCCCCCTCACCTTTTTTAAAAACTAATTTATTTAACTTTGTTTTATGTGCATTGTTATGAAGGTATCATCTCCCGGAACCAGAGTTACAGTTTTAAACTGCCATGTGTGTGTACTAGGATTTGAACCAGGGTCCTCTGGAAGAGCAGTCAGTACTCTTAACCGATGGCCATCTCTCTAGCTCAAGAGCTTATTATATCTTATCCACAAACACAAGGCAGACAGCTAAATGGGAGTGGTGTGGAATTTTGAAGTCTCAAGGCCCACCCCCAGTGACACATTTTCCTCCAACAAGGGCATACCTCCTAGTCATTCTCAAATAGTTTCACCAACTGGGAATCAAGTATTCAAATGTATGGGCCTATGGGGGCATTCTCATTCAAACCACAAAAGGCTTTCTCTGAATACTTACTCAAAATTAGATTCCTACTCTATCCCATTTCTGTCATTTCACTGCATTAGTAATTTACTGATTCATTGGCTTATACCCTGGGCCCCCACTATAGGGTTCATGAATTCGGGTACCATGATGTTTTATTTTTACAGCCCTGGTAAGTAGACTTGTGTTTGGCATAAAGATGATATGCAGTAATTACTTATTGAATGTAGGAATTAATAAATGGATAATGTTACTACCCTGGACACTAGTTAGAGCTTTTTTTAACTTTGCAGTTTTAACATAGTACTGACAAAAAAGAGAATATAAAGATTGAAAGCAAAATCATTGGGGGTATATAAAATAGTAGTAGAAAAAGATTGTAATTATGACATGGGTTTGTACTTTAAAAAATGTAGCTATTTTAAAAGGGAATATATATTGTCAGTTTAGCTGATAGATATTACACTGGCAAATTATTAATGTATTTCTGTTCAGGTCAAGGACTTCCTAAAAAAGCCTATGGATATTGTCTTCTGGATTTTTTGTCATTGAATACCTGTGGCATGTGGAAATTCAGGCAAATATGGCTATTGTCACTGACTGATTAATAGTACTTCTGCTTGTTTCTGTCTAGAATGTGTATACAGTGATGGCAACTCCAAGGAATACTAGACGCTCCCAACTACGAAGCAGAATTTCTCAAGGCAGTGATAGTTACCAGACCAATCTCTTAGCCTGGAAGGTAAAAGCAGAACCAGGCAACTCAAAGTGTGTCTTAAAAGACAGCAGTGCAGTGGAGGATTCTACACATGCTGATGACCAAGCTGAAGATGATCTGCGAATAGCAGTAGAATACTTTCAGAGAGGTAAAGGCAGATTGTTTTCCTTATGAAAATGCAGGTTATTTTTTTTTGAGTCCCTATATATCCCAGGCTTGCCTTGAACTCACTATATAGCTGAGGGAGACCTTGAGATCCCAGTCTGAGTGCCTCTAACTCTTGATCGTTGGTTTATGTGGAGCTAGTGATAGAACCCAGCACTCTCAAATCTGAGCTACAACCCCAGCCCAAGTCTTGTTTCTCTCTCAAAATATTTCAGTCCTAATTGCTGGATGTAGTGGAAGACACACCTGTAATGCCAACACTGGAGACATTTTAAACACACACACACACACACTGAGATGTCAGGGCATGATGGAAATTTTCTTCAGTGAAGATTCTATTGCTGCCAAGTGGTAGTGGCACACACCTTTAATCGCAGCACTTGGGAGGCAGAGACAGGTGGCTCTCTGTAATTCATGGCCAACCTGGTCTACAGAGTGAGCTCCAGGACAGCCATGGCTGTTACACAGAGAAACCCTGTCTCAAAAAACCAAAAAAAGGATTCTATGGCTGCTAAATATTGAGTAATAAAGGCTCTCAAGGTTTTTTGTTTGTTTTTTAAAAGGAAGACATTGCATATATCTATTCCTTTAATAAGTCCTTGGGATGTAATTGTTGAGGATGAGCACTGAAAGAATTTCCAAGGGCTCATTGTTTAATAGTGTTTCTTTTTCCAGGTCCCAGGAAAGCCTCACTGAATAAAGAAAAGATCTTGGAAAAACGCTTGAAAACTTTGGAAAATGTGGCTTGGAAAAATGGCTTAGCTCCAGAAACAATCGATATTTTATTAAATGTGGCACTCAGTGGCAAGTTTGGTATGTTGAGTTGCTAAATTTGTTATTAGTTTCCTGTTGATTTTGCCATTTAGACAGCTTTTGATTTTTATGTGTCTTGGTTTTTCTTTCTAAAGAAAATGTACTGTGTCTTTTTTGTTTTTATTGAAAGTAATTTTTTAAGATTTTATTTATTATGTATACAGTTATCTGCAGGCATGCTTGCACACCAGAAGAGAGCACCAGATCTCATTACAGATGGTTGTGAGCCACCATGTGGTTGCCGGGAATTGAACTCAGGACCTCTGGAAGAGCAGTCGGTGCTCTTAACCTCTGAGCCATCTCTCCAGCCCCTGAAAATAATTTTTATGCAGTATATTCTGATCATGGTTTCTCCTCCCATATCGTCCCCACCTCCCTGCCCATCCTACTCCATGCCGTCTTTCTCTGTCTCTTTAGAAAACAAACCAGCACATAAACAAACCCAAATAGAACAAAACACACACTCACACAGAAAAACAAAGGAAAAGCAGAAGAGACACAATAATATAGCTGAAGCTGACTTAGAATTTGCTAAGTAGACTAGCCTGGTCTTAAATTTGTTTTGATCCTCCTGCCGCTACCTCTCAAGTGTTGGGAATACAGATATACATCACTTTATTTTTTTTTAAAAGATTTATTTTGTTTCATGTGTATGAATGTTTTTGCTTGCATGTATGTATGAATACCACATGTGTGCTTGAAGTCTTTGAAGGTTTCCAAAGAGGGACTTTAAAAGCTCACTAAGTATGTTTCATTGCTTTAGGTTTATTTATCTGACAAGTTCCTATTTATACTGTCTTCATTCTAGTATCGGATTCTGGCAGTCAAAGTGCTTTTCTCTTTTATGTTTTCCTGTCCTAAGTTCATTGGTTAGGGTAGAGGTAGGAGAGGGGCTGAGAAATACCACCTTGTCAGTGCTTATATTTAGCTTTCTCTCACCCATGTTCAGACATTCAGGATACCTTATCCTTAGTATGTATGGGCCAACAAGCTGACTTATCAGACCTTCCTGCAAACCTGAGGACTTGAGTTCAGTTCCTGGAACCCACATAGTGGAAGGAGAGAACCAGTTCCCACTTTCCCACTAGTTGTCCTCAACCTTCACATTTAAGAGATCTGCCTGCCTCTGCCTCCCAAGTTCTGGGAATAGTGGCATGAGTCACCCTGTTCTTTAAGAAAATTCTTAAATGCAGCCCTCTTGAAAAATACCTGTCAGTAGATTTAACCCATTATTAATAATCTATTGTGTTACTACAAAAGTAAAGTGAAAACCACTTTGAAATTTCCTTGTGATTGAAAGTTTTTTTTTTCCTGAGGCAGAGTTTCTCAGTGTATCCCTGGCTGTCCAGGAACTAACTCTGTAGACCAGGCTGGCCTCGAACTCACAGAAATCCGCCTGCCTCTGTCTCTTTAGTGCTGGAATTAAAGGTGTGTGCCACTCCTGCTGGGTTGAAATGCTTTTTAATGTTGAGATATAATTCACATAATATTAAAATTCATGATGCTTTAAAAATGGAATGTATTGCTTTACGCCACTCTCTCTCTCTGCTCACTCCTCTGCTCTTCTCTTCTCCTACCTACACACTCTCTCTGCCTCTCTATGGCGACCAGCCATGGCAGTCAGCCATTACCCCTGTTTCTCTTCTCTCTTAGTCTCCCTACTCTGCCGGGCCATATAATAAACTAGTTAACATGTCTCAAAAACAATGGAATGTATTAGTGTGAGGATATGGAACAGTGAGAGTGCTTGCCATGAGGCTAGGTTTAAGCCCTATTACTGAGAAAAGAAATCCACATTGTATCTTTTGCATATTCACTGAGTCATGAATTCATCAAAATTATCTAATTACTAAATATTTTAATCACCTTAAAAGGAAACTCTTTGCTCGGTTCTTCTTTTTGAGACGAGGTTTTGCTACATGGCTCAGGCTGACCTCAAACTTAGGATCCTCTTGCTTCTGCTTCTTGAGCGCTAGGATTATAGGCCTATACCTCCATAATCAGCTCTTAACCTCTCCCCTACCCTTTTCAAGACAGGGTTTCTCTGTGTAGCCCTGGCTGCCCTGGAACTCACTCTGTAGACCATGTTGACTTCGAACTTAGAGACTCACCTGCCTCTGCCTCCCAAGTGCTGGGATTAAAGGTGTGCACCAACACCACCGCCCACCCAGCCTTTTAACCTCCTTTTTATAATAGATTATTTGGGTCAAATAATTTGATTTAGGAGCTGGGGAGATGGCTTAGTTGGCAAAGTGCTTGCCATGTAAGAATGAGATCCTGAGTTTGAATTACTCTCTTAAAAGCCAAGGACAAGGGGCTAGACAGATGGCTCAGTGGTTAAGAACACTAGCTGCATTTCCAGAGGATCTGAGTTTAATTCCTAGTACCTACATGGCACCTCACAACCTTCTATAACCCTGTTCCTATGGATCTGACATATTCTGGCCTCAGATATATATGTGACGCATGTACATTTGTATAAACAAAAACCCATACATAGAAAGAAAGCAAGCCAAGGACAGAGGCATGTATTTATGTGTAAACACAGCACTGAGGAGATGAAGAACAGAGGATCCATAGGACTTGATGGCCAGCCAGTCTAGCTGGGTATGTGAGCTCCAGGTTCATTGACAGACCCTGTCTCAAAAAGTAAGTGGGCCTGGAGTGATGGCCCAGTTGTTAAGTTGGCTGAGTGGTTAAGAACCCTGGCTTCTCTTCCAAAGGACCTAGGTTCAATTCCCAGCACCCACATGACAGTTCACAAATGTCTGTAACTCCAGTTCTTGGGGACCTGACATCTGCACAGACATACATGCAGGCAAAACACTAAGGTACACTAAAAAATTAGGTGCATGAGGCTAAAGAGATGGCTCAGTGGTTAAGGTCACTTGCTGCTCTTCCAGAGGACCCAGGTTTGATTCCTAGTACCCAATGGCAGCTCTCAACTATCCCTAACTCCAGTTCCAAGGGATCCAGTGCCCTATTCTGACCCTAGTGACCTTGCATGCACGTGGTTTATAGACATACATGCAGGCAAAATACCCATACATATAAAATAATTCAATAAAAATAATTTTTAAAAAGTAAGGCAGAGAACAATTAAGGAAGATCCTTAACATCAAACTTTGGCCTCCATACAGATGCATACTTTCATGTACACATATCTGCACTCACATGAGCACATACACACACACACAAAATAGTTTGCTTCTTAGTTTGTTTAGAGAGTTATGATCATAGTAAAGGAACAATTGAGACACTGAAATCCAGTTTAATTTAAGAGTTGGTTTGCTTTCCAGGGAATGCTATAAACACACGGATATTGAAGTGCATGATTCCAGAAACTCTCATATCTGAAGATTCTGTGGTTAAGGCGGTGTCCTGGCTCTGTGTTGGCAAGTGCTCTGGTAATATCAAGGTAATCTTTTTAGATACTTTGAGGCTAAGTCCTTCAGAACCCACTTAAGGGCTAGCTAGCAGTAAGAGCCACTTATGGAGTAATGGCAGTGACCTTTTGTACATAACCTGTGGTTTCAGAACAATATAGCTTGATAAAAGGGCCCGTTAAAAATAAAGTTTTACTAAGGAATAAAAATCTATTATCCTACTTGGTACTAGAAGCTTTTAAAATAACACTAAGGAGAGAGTAAAGCCCTTCTTCAACAATTAGTTACATTCTCTAAAGACAGTCTTTTCTCTGTCAACAGGTACTTTTTTATCGTTGGTTGGTTGCAATGTTTGACTTTATTGATCGTAAGAAGCAAATTAGTTTGCTCTATGGCTTCTTTTTTGCTTCATTGCAAGATGATGCTCTGGTAAGTAAGCACTAAACAGCATTGACTTTGGTGAAATCCTGTTTTTCTGTATATTGCCATTCCCATTAATGTGTGTTGCATACTTAAGATGTACCAAGAATACAGAAAGTAGAAAGAAATAACACAGCAAAGATCTTTGCTGCACCGTCTCACAGGTTAAAAAATCCGTGGTATTTGCTGTATATGTTCTTTTAAGGAAATAATGTTAGAGATATAGTTATGTTGATTTAGCTCAGTGATTGTCATTTTCCCCTTTAAACCATGTCAGCAGAGTCCATGGGTGACTTACTCTGAATTTTCTTGACATTGCAAAAACTACATCAGAATCCATGGGAAGGAGAACATTACATTTCACAAGTTGCAAATAGACTGATTTTTTATTAAATAGCATAATTGTTTCTATTAAAAACACCAATAATGCCAACAAATCAATGTAGTAGCCAGCCACATAGAAGATTTTCAAGGACAGTTAGTTTATAGACCAAGTAAGTTACATACATAACTGAATTCCTCTTGGCTTTGGGAATGGAATTAATACATTGATTTTACTGACCGAAAATTTATGCTGCATCCTGTTTCTTGCCTTGTACTAGGTAGGAATAAATTTATTTATTTATTACAGATTTACTTATGTGTGTGAGTGTTTTGCTCATGTGTATGTCTTTGTTCTGCCTAGAGGCTTGGTGCCCATGGAGTTCAGAAGAGTGTGTTAGATCCCCTGGAACAGAGTTATAGACAGTTGTAAGGTGTCATGTGGGTACTGGGAATTAAATCTGTGACCTCTGCAAAAGCAACAAGTGATCTTAACCATTGAGCCATCTTGCCAACAGCTAAGATAGCTTTCTGCAGTTGAGTAATGCAAAAATGTAGCAAGGGGATTAAAAAATTCACATGAAGGTAATAACTCAAGAATTGAATTATGAAACTAGAGAGATGGCACAGTGGCTAAGAGCAGTTGCCGCTCTTTTGGGGGGGCCATGGATTCAATTCTGAGCACTTAGAAAGTGGATCAAAAGTATCTTCCCTTTTGATCTACTGTAACCCGTTTCAGGGGATCAGATGCCCTCTTCTGGCCTCTGCAGGAACTGCACACATGTGCTACATAGACATCCAAAGCAGACAGAATACCCTACACATTTTTAAAAAAAGAATTCAGTTATGAAAGACAGCAAAATAATGGCATAAACATAGTGACTACTCTACTATATTTGAGAATGATACCCTCCCTGCAAATCAAAGTGATTAGTAAAGATTTGTAAGCGCTGAGCTGGGCCTGGGGAGGATGGATTGAATTTGGGATTTTGTTTTGTCTTGTTTTTGAGACAGGATCTCACTATGAAGCTCTGGCTGGCTTGGAACTTGCTATGTAGACCAGGCTGGTTTTGAGGTCTGCCTGCTTCTACCTGCTTAGTACTGGTGTGCTACCATGCTCTGTGATTTAGAGATGTGACAGGAGGAAATAATGTTTGTTATGAGGGAAAGGTTTCAGGCAAAGCCGTGAGACACGTAAATTGTTTTTTTTAGGAGACTTTACATGTACGCCAGCCAGACTTAATTGAAGGTGGTATTAGTTGACAGCAGTTAGGAAGATGAGAAATGTGGGTTGATAATAGATTATAGAGGCTATTTCATTAGAAGTTGAACTTTTTTCTTTTATTTTGAGACAGAATGTTATGTATGTAGCTTTGCTGGCCTGGAGTTTACTATGTGGAACAGGTTATCCCAGAACTTACAGATATCCACCTGCTCCTGTGTTGTGTATGCATATGTCACAGCATGTGTGTGGAAATCAGAGGACCACTTGAGGGAGTTGGTTCGATACTTCCACCATGTAGCCCCTGGGGATTGTACTCTTCTTATCAGGCTTGGCAGCAAGTACCTTTACTTGCCGAGCCATTTTGCTGCCCCTTATATTTTGTTGATTTTCTGTGTATATGATATGTGGGTGTCTGTATGGAGGCTGGAGGACAACTTGTTGGGGTTAGTTCACTCTTTCCATCATGTGAGTCCAGTGCATTGAACTCAGGTCGTCAGGCTTGGCAGCAGGTAACTTTACCTGCTGAGCTATTTTTGCTTGACCATGACAAGCATTTTAAAATGAGTAAAATGTTTCTGTATTTTTTAAAAATATATTAATTTAATTATTTTATGTGTATGAGTGTTTTGTATGCATGTATGTATACGCATCATATGTGTGCCTAGTGCCCTTGGAAGTCAGAAAAGGGCCTTATGTCCCCTGGTACTGGAGTTGCAGACAGTTTTGAGCTGCCATGTAGGTGGTAGGAATCAAACCACTGAGCCAACTTTCCAGCCCCTCTAAGTTTCTTTTCTAAGTGACTACATTTTTGTAGCTCAACAAATGGGAAAAGTCTCTAATGTTTTTTTTCCTTTTTAGGAAATTCTAAAAATGTATATTTTGTTTATAATGCTATGTATGAGTGTGTGTGTGTGTGTGTGTACCTACCATGATGGGTACCTGCATTTCAGAGAACAACTTTCAGGACTTGGTTTTCTCCTTCCACTGTGGATTCCAGGGATCAAACTCAGGTCATCAGATTGAAGCAACAAATGCTTTTAACCTGCTGAGCCCTCTCACTGGTCCTATTTTCTGTTTTTTGTTTGAGACAGAATGTCACGAATAGTTCAGGATAACCTTGAATTTGCTATCTTCCTGCCTTCTCAGTGCTGGGATTATAGATGTGAGTCATCATGGCTAGCAGCAGGATTTAGCATTTAAAAGTAATATTTTGTAAAAGTCATTTTCATAGAATTTGATAGGATTCTGACTCTGTAGTGACTCATGTGTGGTAGTTAAATATTTGCCATCAAGGCAACTCCAACATATGAGATGCATATGGATTTTTCCTTTCTAGATGTGATTAAAGGAGAATGTCAGATTTCCTATAATACTGGCTAGAGCCTCAGGAAAAAAATAGTGTGGTGCTCATTTTGTATTCAACATGATAAATAGTGTTGCTAATGGTTCATATCCTAGGGGTGTGAGGTAATGAATTTGTACTGAAATCTAAATTCTTCTTAAAATTATACTTAGAGTCTATCTGAACCCATTTTTAAGTGTAGAAAAGCAGTATAGAATATGCTATACTTCAGACTATAGGGTAATGACTACTAATATGCCAGTTTGTTTAAAGAATATCATTGTTGCTTTTTTGTTGGTTTTTGAGACACCTAAGAAGTTTTTTTTAAATATGTATGTGTATTTGTGTGCACCTGGTTGTGTATGTGTGCACTGTGTGCATACAGGAGCCCAAGGAAGTCAGAGTAGGCATTGGATGCCCTGGAACTGGAGTGACAGATGGTTAAGAGCCACTTTATTGTGTGCTGGGAGTCAAACTGGGGTCCTTGGGAAGAACAAGTGCTCTTAGCCATCACTCCAGCCCCGTGAATAAAAGTGGGCATATATCTCACAAAGAGAAAAAGTGGAAAATTCCTTGCTTCATGCAAGAAGCCATAGTCAAAACAAGACACTTGGACATCATTGTGTAAATTTACCTTCAAGCTGTTTGGATAGCATGTATACGAATCACCAGTGAATTTTATGTTAGGTATCATCCTTTAGCTTTTTCATTAATTGCAAGGAAATATCTCACATCGTATAGTCACTTCTGGTGTCAAGGTTTTTTGATAAGGAATGCTATTGTGTAATAAGAGAATGCTTTGTAAAACTATTGTTCAGTAAAGCCCTAAAGTTGTCTTGCTTAGCATATGATTGACGTTTGAAGACGATATGGTGTTATTTTGTTCAAATAGTATTTTCATTTTTCTTATTTTTGTTATATTTTAACAGTGTCCCTATGTTTGCCATTTGTTATATTTACTGACTAAAAAAGAAAATGGTAAGTATTTTCATTCCAGTCATATTACTTTCACTCTATAGAATCAGCATTTGTTTAGTCCTTTATAAACTTAAATAACTATTAGCATTAGTTATACGACAGCACTCATTTTCTAAAAATTATTTTTAGTACTTTTATCTAAGAGCCTCTGCATAGTGGCTTCACTAAAGAGGTACTATATCTTTAATGTGTTGTAAGAAGTAATTATATGAATTACTTGGTAATTAAGTATAACTGACTTCTTTTGCTGAAGCAAATGCTTAGAACCTCTTTTTATTTTCTAGTCAAACCATTTCGTGTGAGAAAATTGCTTGATCTTCAGGTAAAAATGGTACGTATGGAAAATATCTTGGAGTGTCCAGTTAGTTGTACTTTGAGCTAGGTATTGAGCTAGGCTTTGGAGATAGAAAGCCAAGTCGTAGCTAGAAGGAACTTACTTTCTGAGAACTCAGTCAACAAAGTGGAAAATCACTATCAAAGCTGAAGGTATAGATTAGTGGTAGAGTACTTGCCTAGCATGCACCAAGTCTTAGTTCAATCTCCAGTACAATATGTTATTTTTTTAACCAAAAGATAAGTTGTCAGACATACAATAAGTCCCAAAGGTGTCTGTAAAAAATGGTGTATGTAACGTTACTCTGTGTTTTGCTACAGATTGAACCCACAACTTTACATATGCTAGGCAAGAGCTCACCACTAAGACAGTTGCAACTCCAAAGTTAGGATTTGTATGTGTGTACACATGTTTACAAGGGTGTGCATATGTGTGTGAGTATACAGGGAGACCAGAGAACAATATTGGGTGTCGTTCCTCAGGAGCTGTCCACCACTTTATCTGTCTGTCTGTCTGTCTATCTATCTATCGTGTGTGTATGAATCTTTCTTCTCTCTTCCTCTCCAGTGTGTGTGTGTGTGTGTGTGTGTGTTGTATAGATGTATATATGAATGGGTATGCATCATGTGCCATGGTGTGCTTATGGAATATCAGAGGACAACCTGCCAGAGTTGAATTTCTCCTTCTACCATTCAGGTCTCAGGGAGTGAACTCATCATCAGGATTGGCTACAGTTGCCTTTACCTGTTGAGCCATTTTATCAGTCACTATCCGCCTTTTTTTGAGACAGGGCCTCTCACTAGTCTAAAGTTAGCCAAGTAGGCTAGACAAGGGAATGGTTGGCAAGTGAACCCCAGGATCCACCTGTTTCTGCCTCTCTAACCCTGGGATTCCAAACATATACCACTACACATGGCTTTTTACAACTTGGATTCTGGGGATGGAACTCAGGTCTTCGTACTTGCCAGGCATGTACTTTGTTGACAGCTGTTCGCTCAGTTCTAAAGTTAGTATTTTTGAAGACTTATTTTGTCTAGGTCAAGCTGCTTGACTGTTGTATATCACTAGAAAGAGCAACTGTAAAGATGGAACAACCAATCACCAACAGCAAGTATATGAAAAATGGGTTGCAGTGCATATCACAAGCTTCATTGGCTTTCCTAATGAATTTCAGGATTTATGATGTTCCTGTTAAATTACCATCTCTTCTGCTCTATTTTCTTGACTTTCAGAAGTCAAGAATTAAATATCAAGGTCTTACCTCCTTGATATTTAATTCAAAGATGAGTATACTTTATTTACTTATTGTTTTTTTTTTTGAGACAGGGTTTCTTTGTGTAGCTTTGGAGCCTGTCCTGGAACTAGCTCTTATAGATCAGGCTGGCCTCAAACTCAAAGAGATCTGCCTGTCTCTGTCTCCTCTGTGCTGGGATTAGAGGCATGCACCACAACCTCCTAGAACTTCAGTTTTTTTGTTTGTTTGTTTTTGTTTTTGTTTTTTTGAGACAGTGTCTCACTATATAGCCTTGGCTATACTAGAACTTGCTGTGTAGACCATGATGGCCTCAGACTCACAGAGATCTGCCTTCCTTGGCTTCACCTTCCCAAGTGCTGGGATCAAAGACAGGTGCCATCATGCCCTGGCTGCTATTTTTATTTTTTAAAGATTTATTTGTTTTATAAGTATGGGTATTCTGCTGCCTGCATCACGTGTGTACAGTGCCCAAATGGTCCGGAAGAGGGTTCAGAACTCATGGAAGTGGAGTTAGAGATACTGTGAGCTGCCATGTGGGTGCTAAGAATGGAACCTGGC